CCCCGATCCCGACCGTACTGGCGCCCAGGTGGGCGGAAAACCCGTGAACGGCCGTTCACGGATTTTGGCCCCGTCACGTTCACGGGACCGGCACTGAGCGGGATCCTTTTTTCTTTTTTTCCGTAGGAGATGGCTATGGCGGCATCTTTGTCTCGTTGTTTGGCAGAGGAGGGGGAGGAGGAGCGGGAGCAGCGGGAGGAGGAGCGGGAGGAGCGGGAGGAGGAGGAGTGGGAGGAGGAGCGGGAGGAGGAGGAGTGGGAGGAGGAGCGGGAGGAGGACCAGGAGGAGGAGCGGGAGAAGAAGCGGGACGGGAAACGGGAAGGGCCGGTGGCGCGGGAGGAGGAGCGGGGGTCTTTTTTTTTCGCAGGAGACGGCTATGGCGGCATCTTGGTCACGTTGTTTGGCGGAGGAAGAGGGGGAAAAGGAGTGGGAGAAGCGGGAAAAGGAGCAAGAGGAGAAGCGGGAGGAGAAGCGGGAGGAGGAGGAGGAGCGGTAGGAGCGACAGGAGGAGCAGGAGGAGGAGAGAGAGGAAGTGTGGGAGGAGGAGCGTGAGGGGAAACGGGAAGGGGCGGAGGAGGCGCAGGAGGAGGAGCGTAAGGAGTCGGAGGAGGAGCGGGAGGAAAAACGGGGAGGGGGTTAACGAACGTGAGGAGGAGTGGGAGGAGGAGCGTTAGGAGCGGGAGAAGGAGCGGGAGGAGGGACAGGGGGAAGAGCAGGAGAAGCAACGGGAAAAGGAGGACCGTAACGAGAAGGAGCGGGAGGAGCAGCAGGAGGGGGAGCGGGAGAAGGAGAGGGAGGAGGAGCGGGAGGAGGAGCGGGAGGAGGAGTGAGAGAATGAGTGGGAGCCTTTTTTCTGTTTTTTTTCATAGGAGATGGCTATGGCGGGATCTTTGTCATGTTGTTTGGCGGAGGAGGAGCGGAGGGGGGGGGTGGAACGGGAAGGAGTGGAGGCGTGGGAGGAGGAGTGGGAGAAGGAGCGAGAGGAGCGGGAGGAGGAGTGGGAGGGGAAACGGGAAGGGGGTTGACGAACGCGCGGTAGGCGGGTAGGGAAAGCGGAACGAGGGAAGGGAGGAAAGGGGTTGAGGGCGGGAGGGGTGGACGGGGACCCACTCTCTCTCTCTCTCTCTCTCTCTCTCTCTCTCTCTCTCTCTCTCTCTCTCTCTCTCTCACACACACACACACAAACAAACACACACACACACACAAAAAAAAATAAATAATAATAATAAAAAAAAAATAAAAAAAAATCAGTTCTATGTCTTCTTTCTTCTGTTGTCTGTTCTCCCCCTGACTTTCTCTAAGTCTTTTTGCTGTGTGGCCAACTGAGCACCCTTAAGTTGTGCCAACCAGTCGGTGGTTCCTCGTTTGGCGTGCCTACTGCACTCTTATGCGGGCCGCTCGGTTCGGGATGTCTGTGTTGCATGTAGATGATGACGGATGTTCGTCGGAGTGACTCCCTGGCTCACTAGGTGGTGGGAACCAACAGTCTGCGGGGTTCAATCGTGATGTGAGTAGGTCATGTGCTGCTTTGCTCCGTGTTGGATGTGTGGATGTCCTCGTCTG